AAATTCCTAAAAGCTGCACATTTTTAATGTTCTTGGTGGTATAAAAATCATATCAGTGTGTTGTTAGCATTGCATTTAATATCTTTCTCAACATCAAAGCTCCAAAAAGTTTGGGACAATTATGTTATTTATTATTATTACTGTTCTCATCACCACAGTCTTCACTAAAGAGTTTGTTTAACCAGATCAAGTCCTCAAGGGATTAGTGTGCTGGATAATCATCTCAACAGTAGACTAGGTCCTTTCAGATTAAGGTTGAGGCACGTTGTCATATTAATATTCAGAAGTTTGAACAATTGTTACCCGAGGTTTACCTGGTAGGATGATAAATGAGTCAGTCCTTTGTCCTCCAAAGCTGTCATTCAAATCTTGCATTGAGAAACTGGGTGGGACAGAAATTAGAAAGAAATATACTCTGTTCCTACCTCCCACTGTGCCATCTTCATAATTTAAGGTAAAATTAGGTAATTATAGAAGTTTAAAAAGTTTCCTAATAAAGTTTCCCTTTTATTTCATATAAACTAACCACAAATTGAATTATCATAACAATTATTTTTAGCTGCAATAAACATTATAGTAGCCAGTGTTATTAAAAATAGATTTCTCTTATTATAATTTTAAATCTTAGTAATAGCCTCAGCTTAAATACTTCTTTTTTTTCCTCCCTTTCCTACTAAATTGTTGGACATGAGAAAAGAATAGTTACTTATTGGGCAATATTTTAATAATGCTGTGCTTCCCAAATGCTAGATCTGTTTAGTAAACAAACCATTTACCTGCATCTTCTGGCAATGGAATTAATTCTTGAAGAAATACCATAACACTGGTGCTTGAATAAGTAATATCTACAGACTTCAATTGGGTCTCTTACAATTTGCAAAAATATAACTCTCACAGGCCTACAGCAAGTTCCTCCCAGATTATTTGCTTGTTTTACTCAGAACTAGCTATACTTTACATTTTTACTGTGTTAACCTTAAAGATTAGCTTGAGTTGGTGACAGACAGACAGAAACTTGTCTAATGTTATAAAATAAGCACAGCTAATTGTGACAATTCCTCTTTCCTTCTTCTTTGGGCATCACACTACTTTATAAAACTCAAAGGGCCAAC